CACTCTACTTACATGTGTCTGTTGTAAACTATACATGTGTTTGTTGTACACTCTACTTACTTGTGTTTGTTTTACACTCTACTTACGTGTGTTTGTTGTACATTCTACTTACATGTGTTTGTTGTACACTTTACATGTGTTTGTTGTACATTTTACTTACATGTGTTTGTTGTACATTTTACTTACATGTGTTTGTTTTACACTCTACTTTCATGTGCTTGTTATACACTTTACTTACATGTGTTTGTTGTACACATTACTTACATGTATTTGTTGTACACTCTTCTTACATGTGTTTGTTGTAGAAGGTGTTCAGGTTGACCTTGGGCCCTTTTTTGCTTTTCCCAGCTCCCCACAATTTTTACATTAAAGGCACAGTACCATCCATCCTCCCCATACCGAGAGAGAAAAATCAAAATGTTAAAAGTACTGAAACATCAAAAAAATCCATCCTCCCCATACAAACAGAGAATAATAACTGTCAATACTTGATTTCATACAAAATAGAATAGTATTTTGAGTATTCAAATTAATTTACCAAATTAATTTGGCACATATTAAAATCGCTCTTAAAATTAAAGTATCTTTCACAAAATATGTATGTTTTTTTAGTCCACAATGCATTCATTTTGAGGTCATAAATGAAATTGGAGAAAACAGTTACACTGTTACTATTTTATGTTTTATCACTAATATTGAACTTAGAATTGACCCCCCCCCCCTTCTTGAATTTGCTTGTAGAGTAGGTTTTCCCCCAACCTACGCTAGAAAACGCTCTAGATCATGGAAATCCCATACAAGAGTCAATTTTACTCTTTGTAGTGTTATTAAGTGAGGGTTCTTACCAGAGTCAATTTTCCGAGGAGAAGATCTAACTCTGTGTATTAGTTACAGAGTGCAATTTCCACCAGAGCCAATTCCCCATCCCTCAATAAAATACAATTGCTGTACTTATGTTTTGAGGGGGATGGGGCTGCACATTTCTACAAGTGTCACTTCTTCAAAATGGTGACAAGATGTATTGAACATACATATTAAATTCGGAGAATGAAAATGAAAATTGTAAATCTCATTTCTCTTTTTCCTAGAAACTGTCAAACGATTTTTAAAATCAAATAAATCGGTGAAAACAGGGGGGGGGGGTCTGTATGCATGTGTCCTCTGCGTCTGTCCGTCTGTCTGTGTGACTAGTTGTCCTTCTGTCCGTCTGTCTGTTTCTAATGGTTTTCCATAGTTTTTTTTTAGATATGCTCTAACTAAAGGTATTGTACTGAATTTTGGTACGGGGTGTATTAACGAGTTGAAGATTTCCTTCAATTCAATAATTTTTAATGGAATTACGACCTTTTCAATTTTTAAATATTTTCCCCAGTGTCTTTACTAAACGACTGGAGATATCGAGCTAAGTTTTAGTATGTGAAATCATTGTGAATGGACTAATCCCTTTGCTTTAAATAGTCAAATGACCTCATCACTGCTTCGGAAGCTAATATACTGTAAACGTATTACATTTGGCGGTATATTCTTTTTAGCGTTTCTGGCGGAAAGAAACTTCCGCTAATTCAAGTACAACGATAAATGTCTTATGCATATACATTAATAAGAACATTAAGAAATGCGCTAAATCAAATCTACGCTAACTTGTTCAGAAATAAATTTCCGCCAAATATCGTACACGCTAAATATAATACATTTACCGTAGATAATTACATGTTATCTGTAATTCTTTTTTAAACGAGTTACTCATTATAATCCGATTTATCGTTATAGTTGATATCTCTTTGTTAAGAAAAACAGAGCTTGAAAAAAAAAAAACGGATTCGAGTGAAAAAATCATAATTATGTGCGTGTAATATGCATACTAGGTCATCTTCTTTCGCATTTGATTAGTGTTCTCTTTATATGTCCAAGAAAAATATCTCCCTTTTCACGATTTTTTCAACAGTGATAATGTTATGTAGGTAAAACTTTAATGTGTTCTCCTTATTTCATTTACTTAAAAAAATATGATTATTGACAGCAAAATAGCTAAAGATTATAAACTAAACCCCATGGCAAGATAAAATCTTAGCCATTCATCAAATGTTAGTATCATGATAATTATTATTTAAAAATCGATTACAAAAAATCTTTTGTAATTTTCATTCCGTGCAGATACTCTCTCGTACAAACAAGAACAACAGAAAAAACAAACAAACTTTTTATCAAATATCTTGAAAATAAACAACTTAAGTCTTATCTGAATATGTTTAAGCATACAAATTTTAATTTTTCATTGAAAGTTTCACAAAATTGTATAGATAAAAAGAATGAATATCAGAAAGGTGGAAATATGAACATCATAGTATTTTAATTTGTACAACCTCTTAATATTTTAGAAATTTATTAGTTTATCATTTACAACCAAAACAGATCAAGCTAGAAATATTTCCATAGGGCCTGAATGCCCCGCCGAGTGTATATTACTAATGAGACTTTTAAATTCGTATAAGTGTCAAATTAAATGGGTGTTGCATCTTGAACGATGGAATAGAACTTGTTCTATTCCGTGCTTCAAGATGCATGGAACTGACCAAGAAAAAAAAGGTCAGAGTTGAATATATTGAATCATGAGCCTTATTTTTTCATATAGTTTCAAAAATAGCTTCCCAAGATACACAAAAACAGAAAATACTGATTAAAACTACAATTAGAAAAATGTATTTGATTATTATAATATAGAAGAGTTTTTGTTTTGGAATAAATATAAATTATATCTTCCAAGAATTATCATAAAAAGGAAATTCAGAATTTGTTCAGCTAAAATAAATATGGAAATGAAATTTGAAGGTATTGTTATTTTTTTAAGTAAAGAAATTTCATCTTTAACAAAGTATTCTAAAGATGCATGCATCAAGATACATAGTGTAAATAAGAAGATGCATGAGACAAAATTGAAGCATGAGTTAAGATGCATGTGTCAAGATGCATACCGGTAACTTGCATTGCTGACCCTAAAATTACTTTAGATATTTGAGTTTCCTTGTACATATTCTGAGAAATAACAGTCTGATAGAGGCTGCAGTGAGTCTTGAACTGTAAACTACCGAGTAAATGAATAACTGTATTGGGTAACTTAAATGTTTCAATATGATTAATGAAATGATAAAATGAACATGTGTTGTAAAAAGTTTGTTTAATTCTAAATACACACTCAATCATCAGTGGCGTAGCTAGCAAATTATTAACTGTATTCAGAAAGGCAAGGGGTGTGGGGGCCGCCTTTAGGCCCCCAGCGGGTCCAGGGCAAGGCCCTGGTGGGGGCCCAGGGGGCGAAGCCCCCGGAAGCTCATGCATTTTAAGGGTTTTATACATTAGAAAACTACCTTAGCTTAAAATAGTTCAATTTTTACAATCGTAGTTCTTCTTTATCAAAAACTTGCCAAGTTTTGACAATACTAACAACTCCCCAAATTTCCTTTTTCTAAAAGCATTTCTTGTTTTCATGAAATAAGTCTAAATTTTCCACAGTGAAAATCTTGTAATATGTTTAGGGCTCCAAACTCACAAAGCCTTGACTTTGTGAGGATGCTTTAACTGATATTTTCACAATAATTTTTCACAACATGTTCGCTTTTTCCTAAAGTTGGCTAATTTTTCGAACTTTTTCCTCATTATTTGTAGCAACTTTTTGATTATATTATAAAAAAGCTATTTTAAAATTTACTGACGAAAGAGATTTATTTTGGACTGCAGGGAAACCTTGGAAAAAATTTTAACAAAAAATTTAATGTTGTATAGTAGTTGCAATAAAAATTAATCCTCAATTAACCAATATACAGGTATATCAACACAAAAACTTGAATATTCTTCATATGTTACATGTTAAAAATCAATTGATTTGAAATAACATGTAAAATACTAGTACAACGCAGTTACCTTTGGTTTAAAGAAATTATTAGGGGAATTATAGCTAATAAATAACATACATTTAGTTTGGTATTATTTGCTTTTACTTGAATTCACACAATTATGAAATTCGTCCTCGAAATTCTAAAAAAAAAAAATTTAAATATATGTACACTGTATCAAAAATCTAAGATAGAAGTTGAAATATTCTTTTCATCTATTTAGCAGGTAAGGATTAAAAATATCTTTTAATATAACTTATTTTATTTTAATCATTTATTGAACTTAGGATATTTGTTTTTAATTATCATTATTATTTTTATTATTTTTGGTGAAAAATCTGTGTATTCATTTGCGTTTTTGCGTAAAGGGCGCTACGCCACTGATCATGGTGGTGTTTTAGTGTCCCTTACACAAAATTTATGTTATATTTCTACATGCTATGTTAATGACCTGTCATTATGTTTTCTTACAGTTCAAAAAGCTAAATTTTTAGCTTTAACATTGTAAATCATAATCTTGATGTTTTTCTTTGTTAACATGGTAAATATATAGGTTTTTAGGTCACATAGTATTATATAAATTATAATAATAAGGACATTCCAGGCGTAATTCTATTCCAGGTGTCATTTTAGTTTCCAGGCGTAATTTTTTCCGGGCGTCATTTATTTTTCCGGGCGTAGCTCATTTGCATTTTTCGCGTCAAATTCCTGCCACTTTCCTCTTGGTTTCCGCTTGGTTTACGCCCGGAACCTGTGTATCACCATATATGTAGAGAGACAAACTGATGCCCGGAATTCCCTCTCCAAGTACGCCTCAATTCCCCCTATATTTCAGGCGGAACGTTTCGTACAGGTTCAGTCAACGGGCTGATGGTTTCTTCAGGATGATGACTTGTAATGCAGGTTATGATAATGTGTGAACCATATCAAAACTAATTTATTGAAAATATTTCCTTTCAGACAATAATACAGATTTTTTTCTTCTTTTCCTTTAAATTCCATTTGATCTCATATGACATAAACAGTCATTATAAAATGAAAGCACCTTTAGCGGGTTTTTCCGTACTATTTATATATATATATATCTATTTATATATATCACCTGGTCAATTTACCTGTAAAATGGACTCCATTAGAACTTCACCAATGTAAGTTTTAACAATTGCAGTGTATAACTAAAGAGGTCTTCAATTTCTGAATTAGTAAATATTATGATGCTTTTAATTTTGAATACAATAAGCATTTTAAAAAAATCTTATACTAGTATTTTGTTCTTAATTGTTTATGTATCGTAAGCTGAGAATAAATTACGCAGGTACATTAATAAAACATCTTTTAAATTAACTTTGAAAGTAAAAGATTTTTTTGAAAGTTGAAAAAGAATTAAATGGTTTACTAAAATGGCATAATATGTAGTTTAAATATCATATATCCTGACATATAAAGTTCTACTTTTATCATTATTAGAAAGACAGCCCTACAGCATGTGTCTGAGTCAGTGTTCATGGGACTGTGTGATAAACTTGGGACCTCACAACTGGTGGCCATGAGGAGAGATGTGATGGACATCACCGAAATAATGGACATTCAAAGGAGAACAAGTGATGATATCAGTGGAATGATGAGTGGAAGTCAAAGAGAAGGATTCAGACTGGAAGAATCAGATGTGGATGTGATGTGCTGGCCAAATAATCACCGTGTGATCTGGGAATTATCTCAGTCTCAGTATTACAACACACACAGACAAACACTGATCTTTAGTGACTGTTCTGGGAGTCCACCAGGATTCACTTTGTTATATTTACTGTCACCAAGCATGGACAGATTTATCCAGACAGTTTGTGCTAGAGTCAATAACAGATATTTTATCTCCAGTTCAGAATGTACAAAGATATGGTGTTCTGCAGTTTCACCTGACTCCATTCAACATGGACCCTGTGCCAGTGGAGTTTTTATAGATGAAACAGAATATGATTTAGCCTTCTGTTTGTTTTGTGACTTTTGGCCTTCATTTGCCTCCTCATGGATAAAAAGATGTCACTCATGGCCCCAGACTCATGTTGCTAATGAAATAGTAAATAATGGATGTCATTTTGTACCAGTAGGACACAAACTTGGACGTCATGAGCACAACGAATGGAGAATTTCTTTTTCTCTTGCTGAACATAAACTTGTGTCTGCTATGAATCACTGTCAATTCTTAATTTACGGCTTGCTTAAATTGCACTTAACAGAAATAATCAACAAAGGAAGAAGTGATGATGATAAATTATTGTGTTCCTATCACATGAAGACAGCAGTTTTTTGGGTGATTCAACAGAATACATTACCTCATTGGTGTCCACAAACTCTCTTGGAGTGTTTCTGGGTTTGTTTTAAACTCATCCTTAAGTGGGTGTATGAGGGAGTCTGTCCTAACTTTTTTATTCCCCAAAATATGTTTCTGAGTAAAGTCCACGGTGAAGCACAACATCAGCTATTTATAAGGCTGTATGGATTGTATGAGAAGGGTTTAGTATTCCTGCTACACAGTCCCTCCATTAGAACTTGTATTATTTCTGAGTAAAGTCCACGGTGAAGCACAACATCAGCTATTTATAAGGCTGTATGGATTGTATGAGAACAGTTGCTGACAGGGCTTTTATATTTCCTTTACCAAGTATTCCTTGTGACAAGACCTTTTCTTTGGTACCTCATGACACTGATCTTTGAGTATGACCAACTTGTTTGGCCATATTTTCTGAAATGTTTGTAGTAGGAATCTTATCATATCTCACATGCATTCCTTGTGACCATTCTAATAAGAGTATCATTAATTTTTAACCCTTGACATTGGAGTTTGACCTATATTTAAGAACTTTAACCTTAGCCATGAGCTGACATTTGGCAGAATCGGTGTTTCACAAAAAGGTCTGATTCAAAATAAATATTTATTTACATATGTTCATATATTACATTTACAATATTTACATAACATAAGCTACAGGAAAATGCACTGCTTAACCCATTCAAATGAAATCTTCTTGGTACAATACTTAACGAAAAATACTCGTTTTCAAAGTTAGAATTGAGTTTTAATAGTAACAGTTAGAGAATCATGTCCAATGTAATGTATAATATTCTTTAGTATATTTGTAAGGAGCCTTATTTTCATTTTTGTATAAAAATTAATCAGAAATATCAATAGCTGTGTTCCTCGTTTCTGTCTTCCAAAGCAATCCATGACTTTAGAATTTCTGTGTCTTGCCCCTCCTGACCCCCATTAGTTGTTTTGTGACCCGGTTTGAGACAGATGACGTATAACGTCCACCCAGTCCCACCCTCGGGGCCTCTCTCCAGACGCGTCCAGTCGGTCAAACATTTTACGTTTCTGATTCTTGGTCAGCTGTTCTTTTTTCTCCTTTTTCTTGGCCACCTCCACAACAGAAATCTTGTTTTCACTGACCTAAAGACAAAGTTAATTTATCTAAAAACAAGATGTATGTAAATACATGGAATCAAACTCATTGACCTAAAGAAAAAAATGTATGTAAAGCATATGGAATTAAACTCCTAGGTAACTTAGAGTTAAAAGGTTCTTTGAACATTGATGTACAAGTAATACGCTAGCTAGACAAGTAAACTCTATATATGTTCTTAGGATTCTATGAAATATTATCAGACATGTTTAGCTTTAGAAAACAAATAGTTTTGCTATATTTTTAATATAAACATACATGTACTAAATTTAATGAATTATTTTTTTGTACATATTGCATGTTTTGTAACTGATTTGATATTCAGTCTGTATAAACCCTTTCAAATGAAAGGCAATGAGTTTAATGTCCACGAGTTTGTAACAATAAATCACTGAAGAACAAACCTGATTGGTTGGTTGTGTTTCTGGTTGCTCAGCAACAAGGTCATCATAATTCTCCTTGACCCACTCAAACAAAGTGTAGGTCATGGCACAATCCAGTAGGTCAGGGATCTGAGTGTGAAGAGTTTAACCATCATCAGTAACTAAGCATTTCAAAACTTATTTATCTTTTCAAAAATTGCAGCATGGAAGAATGTGCAACAAAATGAGCAAAAATATGTTTCCTTTTTACAATATTATCTACATGTTTAAAATGTTGTAAATGTTTAAATGAAAGTCATTTGCAGGAAAAATACAGACAAACAAATTACCTGTTCCTGAAGTCCCTCAATGATTTTGGTCTTTACAGTGTCATATCTAAAGATATAAAATATGGTTACAGTAGTCCATAATAAAGTGCCGCGCCACAGCATGATACGCCCGTCAAAAAATACAATTTTTTGAAGGTGCAAGAAAATCACATCAACCTTGATTCTCAGATTTCGATGATTTTTCCATTCCTTAAAATATTTATCCATCCCCTGTGATGTAGGCATCAATTATAATAAATATTACATCACTGATAGATTTCTGTGCTGGTTGTGTTAGACCTTGTTAAATGCCCATCATCAAATTTGTCTTAACAACTTAATCTATACTAAATTAATTTTGAAAAGAAAAGGCTGGCCATCAAATGACATATGGTATAATAAACTGACCAGCAGTTCTTCTGTCTAATACCCAAAGGGTAGAGATAAGACTGAGACAGCTAGCCTTCCTACATTGAACTCATTAATTAATCTTTAACTGGATGCTTGTCTACTCATTACTACCAAAGAGATGAATGAGTCTGCACTATCTCTTTTTAAAAACATATAAAATACTCAAAGATTTTTTTTTTGGTTGAGATTTAATGTCCGACAGGTTTTAATATGTAATTCATATGGACATGCTGATTCCACCCCACCCCATAAAATTAGTTTCTAAATTAAAAATATTACATAATATCAGATTAGTCTATTATGCAATATCAAATTAGTTTTAATTACTTTTCATCAAATTCATTTTAAAACTTAAGCTAGTCAACAAGAGCTATTTCTAATAACAGGCTTACCCATTTGCCCAATACTCAAGGGATATAGATAACACCAATGCTCTGTCGGTTACCTCCTTGCACTCAAAACCCATTAATTTCTCTCTAATTTGACATGCAATGTTCTGTTATCAAAATTCTTCTTGACCAGTGCTTGATAATTACTCTCATGGGAGAGGCAGGATTTCTCTGACATACATTATATTTGTTATAGATTGCTGTCAAGTATATGCTTAGAAAAAATAAGTATTTTCTTGATTTAACACTTTTTTAATAAGAACAGTGCAATACTCTTACATTATTTGAAATGTGTAAATGAATAGTAAAAAGACACATTTTTTTTTAAAAATTCACTTAAATTAAAGGTCACAGTGACCTTGAAATAGGTCGCAACACACCTTCTACCTAAGATGCATAAACTGGCCAAGTTTGATGACTGTAGGTCTCATAGTTTTCTAGTTATGGGCCGGAAAGGATTTTTCCATATTTGGCTATAACTTCTTAATTAAAGGTCAGAGCGACCTACTTTTTGTGCGCGACACACCTTCTACCCAAGATGCATCAGATGACAAAGTTTGATAATCCTAGGCCTAGTAGTATTAAAGTTATGAGCCGGAAACGAAAAAGCTAACAGACAGACGGACGGACACGAAGCCTATAACATAATACGTCCCGTCTTAAGACGGGCGTATAAAAAGATAATGTACGGATAAATACGTTGTCATACTGTTTTTAAGTATTTCTCGGACACTAATTACCGGTTTCTAATATGCTGTGCATATACCTATCCATTTCAAAGATTTTGTGGCTATACTACCATGGGTAAAAATATTTCATGGGATATTTCATCAGGTTCATGAGGAGCCGTAAGTGTTATTTTCAAACCCTGTTGTGCTTGATTACAGTACATAATATTTTGAATTAATACCCTTCATACATCTTTGTTGTTCAATTTACTTACATGTGTTTGTTGAACACTTTATTTCCATGTGTTTGTTGTACACTTTATTTACATGTGTTTGTTGTACACTCTATTTACACATGTTTGTTGTTCACTTTACTTACATGTGTTTGTTGTACACTTTACTTACACATGTTTGCCTTACACTTTACACACATGTGTTTGTTGTACACTTAATTTACATGTGTTTGTTGTACACTTTACTTACATTTGTTTGTTGTACACTTTACTTACACATGTTTGCTGTACACTTTACATACATGTATTTGTTTTGTACACTTTACTTAAATGTGTTTGTTGTACACTATACTTAAATGTGTTTTAACTACACTTTACTTAAATGAGTTTGTTGTACACTGTACATGTATATTTTCGTGGTACACTTTACTCACATGTGTTTGTTTTTTATACTTTACGTAAATGTGTTTTAAGTACACTTTACTTACATGTGTTTGATGTACATTTTATTTACACATGTTTGTTGAACACTTTACTTACATGTGTTTGTTGTTCACATTACTTACATGTTTGTTGTACACTATACTTACATGTGTTTGTTTTGTACACTTTACATAAATCTGTTTTATCTACAATTTACTCACATGTGTTTGTTGTACACTTTACTTACATGTGTTTGTTGTACACTATACTTACATATGTTTGTTGTACACTTTACTTACATGTGTTTATTGTACACTTTACTTACATGTGTTTGTTGTTCACGTTACTTACTGTGTTTGTTGTACACTTTACTTACATGTGTTTGTTGTACACTTTACTTACATGTGTTTGTTGTACACATTACTTACATGTGTTTGTTGTACACTTTACTTACATGTGTTTGTTGTTCACGTTACTTACTGTGTTTGTGTACACTTTACTAATGCCCTGTTCACACAGAGAGGTTTATTCGCAGTAAATTAATGCGAAGTAAACTAATGCGAATCAAACTAATGCGAATTAAATTGTGTTCACACAACGGCTAATGCGAAGTAAACTAATGCAAATTTTGATTTTACTTCTGCAGCCCGGCGTCAGCAAGGCTATTATAACATCATTTGCGAATCACGTCACCTTATGCAGAAGCAGATCCAACTGACATAATGGCAAAGTGTCTGTATACACATTTTAATGATTAACAAAATTTTCCTTAGTTTTTCAGTCAAAACTAGCACAAGTACCTATAGCTGACCACTGACAAGTGGCATTTGACTAAATTTTGCCATTACGCATGCCTCAGAATTTAATTCGAATTAGCTTCGCTTAGTGTTGACTTGCTAATGCGAAGTAATTTAATGCGCAGTAAACTAATTCGAATTAAACTAATTCGCACTAAATTCTCCGTGTGAACGCTAAGCAAAGCTAATTATGTTCCCCAAACGAAGTTGGGGAACATATTGTTTTTACTCTGTTTCTTATTATGTTCCCCAAACGAAGTTGGGGAACATATTGTTTTTACTCTGTTTCTTATTATTATTATTATTATTATTCCTGGGAAAATTTTGTCCACGAGTGATCTTGTAAACTACACATCCGACTAAGGTAAAATGTTTTTAGGGTCAGTAGACATGTTATGTAGATTTGCCAAACGAAGGTCATTTTGCGCGCACGTGCTTGCAAGAGCGAGCACGCGCAACACGTGAAATGACCAATAGAATGGATATTGCCGTAACT